TCATCCAACAGTCTTATACAACAGTGGGAAGTTATTTTGGACCAAACGTATCAAACTTTTTTTAGCTGCCTGGAGATACATTAAATGATGTAGGAAAATGGGTTTTGTGTTGTACTCTTTACGTCTGCGTGACAAATACTCTTCTGCTGGTAAGCAGCCGAAATACGGAAACGGTAGTCAATTGCAGGTTGAAACGAGACACTATCCAATGCAGATTTGCCAGTTAATCGATACAGGTAAATACTGTGATTTTTTTCATGTCATAATGCCAAAATATTGTACCTTGGTCAATTACTGCTGCACCCGGCTGATGCACTCGGCTTCGTCTCAAGCAAAAGTGACGCAAGTAACGGAAAAGGTTATGATACTGGTACATACATGAAAAGCCGCACAACGGTCTTAAAAAACGCATACCCCCCCCCCCCCCTCTCTCTCTCTCTCTCTCTCTCTCTCTCCGCTCAAATCTGACATGCTGTCCCCGGAGTCACAGAGACCGGGATTAGTATTCTGCGATTTTTATGAAAAAAAAAATGGTTGCACGCGTCAGGAATTGCCCAGAAGATTACTGCAGTGCCGAACATTTGGCTTCCTCTGGGTTCCCTGACTGTCTCCACCGTAAGTCTCTTTTCTCCGATCAGTGGCGTCACCGCCGGCGGATGGAGACACTGCTCAGGCAGCTCCCTCGCCGCTCGCGATCATTACTTCATGTCTCCAGGGATCAGACTGGATGGCCCGCACCAGATCACCGAGACAGTTTTGCCCGCGATCTGCTCCTAATCTGTCATTGTGCGGCGCCGGCGCGTCTCCGGCCGGTCATTGGTCGCCCGGGGAGTGTGTGAAGCCCGCCAGCGGTGCCCGGCCGGCCCGTTAGGTGCCCCGGCCGGGCAGGCCCCGCCCCGGCCTGGCGGAGGGCGGGCCCGCTGGGTGGCGGACCCAGGCCCCGCTGGGCCCGCGCAGTCGCGGCACTCGCGCCGCGCACGCTGGTGTCCGCTGTCCGCTGTCCACCGGGGTTCCGCGCAGGTGTCTGGCACCTAGCCGATCGAGTGCACGCATCCCGCGCCGGTTCAGCAGGTGCTACTAGCAGTCACCGAAACCGTCGCGGTGCCGCAGTCAGCAGGGGGCGCTGCTGGGAGCTCAGAGAGGGTGAGACACGCTCTGAACAGACCAACTAAAACGTTGGGGAAATATTGCTCTTGCGCACTTGCCCTGAGGCTACCCTCGGGTCGAAGCGCACAACAAGACAAGCCGGGAGGTCAAGAGCTCAACGAAACGAGACGCAGACGAAGTTACAAGATCAACGGAGCCGACGCGAGCGCGGTCGGAACCGACCGCAGCTCTACCGACGCCGACGGCGGCGCTGCCCACCGCCGGAGACGACGGGAGCCCACCCGGGAGCCGGCAGGGGCATTGTCGGAGCCGACAGGAGCCCAGTCGGAGCAGACAGGGTTCCGGTCGGAGCGCAGGGCGACGCGGTGGAGCCGCCGGGCGCCCACTGGCGCGGGCCGGGCGTCGGGCCGGCGGCCCGCCTGGCGGACCGCGCGTCGACGCCCTGGTGGGAGCTGTACGGCCGCTGGTCCAGCATGGTGCACCAGCAGGGCCGCGGCACCAAACTCGCCTCCGTCATACGCAAGATCCAGGCCTCACTGCGCACCGGCACAGCAAGTATGCTCGTGCCCTGCCCGCCCATTGTAGACCGCTACCCCACACGGCGCATAGGGTGTGGTGTACCCATGCGTTCGGCTCTGGTATTCGGTATCTTGCAAATTATGTTGCACTGGATTGCCAAACCAGCACTCATGGACGGCTTATAGATTAGTAGCATAAAGCCTCCTTCATACACTGTTTCGATAAAGGCCAATGTTATGCCTGATGATCGGTCAGCGCGCTCGTGCTTCGGCGCCGGTCTCCTCGCGCGCGCCTCGCCGCTCTGGCCGGCTCGTGACGTGTTTTTGTTGCGGGAATGCAGCGTGGGAGATGCGTGCCAGGCCCTGGGACGTGGGACGACCACGGAGGGGTGCGTTTAATGCGGCGTCTACCATTGATTGCCGGATGACATCTAAGTGAGGGATAGTAGTGAAGTCCAGTCCTCTCCAGTGAAGGGACGGGATCCCAAACCCAGCACAAGGCCTGATGTACATGATTTCGCTGATCAAAAGGCGTAGGCACGAATCTGAAGCCTGCATGCTTTGTGCGCCAGTTCTTGGAAAACCACCTATCTTTACTAGGTCTGGAAGTGCATAGCAAGAAAACAGCAAAACAACGTAAAATCGCCCAAATCTCAAATTAAATGTCAAACCAAACCAATTATATGCCAGCATGGGGGTGTCATACCTGTTGGTGCTGAAGTGTTCCCAGGGTGGGTGGAATGGCACGCCCCTCCCTACCCCTTCCTTGCTGAATGTGAGACGGTCTGGCATCGCGCAAAACAACCAACACCAACGCCTGAATAGCGCTCTATCCCACATTAGTCACCACAGAAAACCTGAATAAAACATCAGAGGACGTCAGGAAAGACAACAAGTGGTGTGGATTATAGTAATTGATCCTTTTAGGGTGGTCCACAAGGGTTCCTGTCCGGCTCCCTTGAAGTCGGACGCCCTGCTTGCGACAATAAGTCGTGAGCCGTTCTGTCCACAGGATGAAACGCCATGGTCTTAAGGACTGTCATCCGAAGCTCATACGTTTTACTGCTACGTTTTATCAATTCTGACTTATTGCCATGATTACGGTAATAGTATGAAATCTGCTTCCACTCTGCATGTTTTCTCAGAAATGTGACGAAAGAAACATGTCATTGGCTTATATATGTATATATATATATATATATATATATATATATATATATATATATATATATATATATATGTGTGTGTGTGTGTGTGTGTGTGTGTGTGTGTGTGTGTGTGTGTGTGTGTGTGTGTGTGTGTGTGTGTGTGTGTGTGTGTGTGTGTGTATGTGCGTGTATGTGTGTGTATGTGTGTACATAATTTCCCATCTTACATCTTTTTTGCTTGCCTCTTGCAGGTCTCTTTCTTATATCTTACCTTCCTATAATGTGTAGATAGCTGAGAAATCCAAGTGTTCACCAATAACGCTTCTCAGCTGTTTGCCCACTTGGTTATAGGTGCAGTTTTACCAGGTGCTGATACTGTATGCCTGAATGTACTTCTATTGGCGTGCCATTTTCAGTTGCATGGTCAAAGGATACCGCTATCAGATTCTGTTAGACCATGTGATGCCACAAGCAAACATGGATACTGTACCAATCGGAGCGAGCGTTATATCAGAGGACCAGTTATATCAGAGCGTGCATTATATCAGAGCGCATGTTATATCAGAGCACGCGTTTTATCGGAGCGTGTGTTTTATCAGATAATTCAGATATCAGAGCACGCGCTACATCGGAGCGCACGCTATATTCGAGCGCGTGTTATATCAGAGCACCCGTTATATCATGGCGCCCGTTATGTCAGAGCACGCGTTATACCGTAGCCCCCGTTATATATCAGAGCGCCCGTTACATTAGAACACCCGTTATATCAGAGCTCACGTTACATCAGAGTCCCATCATATCAGAGCACTGGGCGCCACCCTGAGAACGTATTGCTATAATGCCTCGGAGCCGGCACTGATAGGAAGCAGTGAACCTTCGACAGTTTAACATAACACGCATACGACCACGCGTCAACCAATGACGGGGACCGGTGCGTGGTGCGGATGTGCAAGGTGCAGTATGACGCATTTTGAGACAGGTACTACTTGCAGAAAGAAGTTATTTGACTTTTGGCAACGAAGTGCATGTCATGACGCTCATTTAGCTCTGCAATTTGCTGAGGCAACCGTGTATATGTGTTTAATAGGCGCCCGGATGACCGGTTAAATACCAAATACCAAATACAAATAAAAATACAAACATAAATACAAACACCAAATTTATTGGGTGCGTTAGTCTGCATGTGAACTCACTTGCATCAAACTTTGCGGTTCCTAGATCTTAAACTTTGGGTAAAATAAGGTGAATCAAGTTCAAACTCAATATTAGTGTCCAAGGTGCCCAAGACCTTTTCATGCAACCGCCTTGAACCTGGATACCTGTCCTAAGCAAAAGTTCACTGGTGTTCATTCAAGTTCAGCGACCTCTCTTTCCTTTAAGGGTACGGGTGATCAAGATCCTACGAGATTTTTATTTTTGCATTTAAATGAGAGTTATGGATTACGCTAGGCGGTATGTTTCTAAAAACAAAATGTTTACCAAGGGAATTTTATTTCAGTGGCATTCTCTGACCCTGAGAAAGTCCATGAAAAATGCCTGTTGCGGCCTCTATTGTTACCAAATTCGAAATGAGCACCAGTGTTACCTCAATCATTAAGCTTTCAGGTAAAAATCCAGGCTGTTTTTATTTCAGTCTGGCCCTCATATCTGACTTCAGGTCAATGAAATTTGTTATAGTCCTAAATTTAATGGTTTTTCGTTTAAATTATTCATCTCACACATGTCGAGCTCTTCCACCATTTCACCAAATCATTCTTCAATCGCTACCAATACGTACTTAACGACATTTGTGTTTAATGAGTCAAACTTTCTCAAAAAAAGATAAAGCTTGGCGCTGAAATGTTAATCCGTTTCCAGCCTTTTTTAAGAGTTCTCTGATAGCGACGGAGACGTTGGATGATCACTGATAAGAAATTCGCACTTTGCGGGCCCGTGACCAGGGCCATGCAACAGAATACAGCTTCCATAGTGTTGAAACATATGTGCACCTTTAAAGCACATCGACCAGAAAGCACCGGCTTGTTTAATCGAATATTTATGTTCCTGGGTGACTTTAACGCACCGCTAAGCACAGATAAAATATTTCCGGTCCAGCAATCACACGGTGATTTTAAATCAGAAAAGTTAAAAATTTCGCAGTGTGAGGGTGATCCCAGCTCAGATGCACGAGAGGGCTGCGCCGCGCGTCCTAAGCGGGCCAGCCAGCTGAGTGCTGTTCCCGTTCCAGCCGACCTCTCGACCGACACCCAGTCGACCAGCAGCGAGGTGTCCTTGACCTCGGGGTCACCGGGATCGTCTGCCGAGCTCGACTCGCTCGTCACGATCGGCACGACGGAGGCGACGCCGTACAAGTGCTGCTTCTGCGAGCAGGCCTACCCGCGCCAGACGCTCATGAAGCTGCATGAACAGGTACGCGGGGATGCGACACGCTCAGGACGGAGCGAAGGGAGCGCACTGGGCGATGTGCGCAGCCCTGACCCTGAGGGGTGAGCTTACCTACATGCGGTCCTGCTCCAGCTGAATAGGCACCGCTGTCCTGCATAGCACGAATACACATCACCCTCGTATGCCAGGGGCAGAATAGCTTGCTGACGTCCCCAGGGTCCTGTGACTCGTGTGAATGACCTGGGGTCAGCCTTACAGTGCGGTGTTGCACGGGACCGTTCGCGAGGAAAAACTCAGTGAGATTCATCGCCCTCTTTACGTTGTTTTTGGAACCACCTTTCTTTGTTTCGGGGTCTTCCGTGATATTGCTAAACGAACCAAAACTTGCGGTTTTTTCGCAAGCCGATCTAAAAGACAGGCAAGTGGTCATGGATAGATAAACATCGGTGTGTCACGGGGAAACACCTGCACGGGTTTCCCGAGAATGCAAATGCGTTGCGACCGGTTCAATGTCAGTGATGTGACAGCGCCACCCGGCTCCGATCTCTTTGCACACCCCAATGGGAGGCGGGACAGCTGGATAACAAGGGGAAACTGCAAAAACGGGTGACTGGGACTGAGAGACTGCAGAGACAAATGCTGAAAGTCCAGGAAATACCTCTTGATCATAAACTCACGGACGTAATAGCTCACCCCGGTGCAAGGCTTCAGGTGACATGGACACTTGGTTCCAGGACCCTGTGGGACATTCCCCCTTTCTCCTTTCTGTAACCAGAACACTGCAGCTTCTTGCCTCTTTTTGCGTTCTCGAGATGCGTGTTCATAGCTATTGCGCAGCATTTTCGTGATCGTTTCAGAAATTAGGTAAATATGAAAGCAATGACCGTGCGGATAGATGTTGACTCATATGAATGTCTTGCGTACTGGCAAACCATTACTTAGTTGACTTCAGCTAGGCCTAGCCAATTCTGGTTGTGTACAGTATTATATCACATTTTGTTCCATCCAAAAATGGAAATGCTTTAAAATCAGTTTGTTTGTTTTTTTTGTAGAAGAGTGTGGGAAGTACCGACAGTTGGAGTTTGACGCCTGTTCCTATATATGGTTGTGTTGGTTGTGGTTGGTTGTGGTTATATATATATATATATATATATATATATATATATATATATATATATATATGGCTGCGTTGTGACACGCCTATATGGGTGTGTCACAACGTACTTGACATTAGGGCCTGGCGATGAGACGGAATTTAATATTTAACAGTCATGGCATCTATACACACACGACAATGCAATTTCTATCTATTACACATTCCTAGGGTTGGTGTAAAATTTTATAGTACCATTTGCCAGTTATTTGTCAAGGCTAAGAAACCGATTTAAGACATTGAAATGTGATTGCCTTGATAGACAAAACCCAAAAATTTCTATAGCACACTGTCATATCTATTGTGTTGTTGCTAGTCTCCTACCCTGCAGCTCCAGGCCACCGAGCTGTCTTCTAGCTCATCTCATGAGCATTGTTTATAATTTTACATCGTATTTTATTTAGAGGGAAAGAGAGTGTTCCATATTTATATGGAGTTTTGAACTGAAATAGCCATCTGGAAAACCTTTCGGTGCTGTTTACAATCCTGGCCTTCTTAAGAGTTAAGCCTCTCAATTTTCTGAGCCACATGCCCGCGAAAATGGGGCAAGTTTTAACGGGGAGAGTATTTCAAAGCGCCACCTCAGCATTCCTGACGTCATAATAATGTTATTCAAATCCTGCCATTTCATTAGCCATGCGGCAACCAAGCCCAAGACAAACAAAATTATCGATGCACTCGCATCTGGCGTTCGTGAGCGCGATTTCCATACATAATGATAGCCAGTTTACTATCAATCAATGTTGTGCAAGGTACGATGACGTAATTAAGCCATGACACATTGAGGAGCATGTTTATTAAACAGAGAATTGTGCTGTCTAGAGCAGTCTTTGCCACCTAAAAAGCATGCCAATAATTGCAAGGGGGCTTGCCATATCACATACGACGCGTGCTTCAATACCTTTAAATTTGAAACATTCCATTTAATTCACCTTCACAAAAAGCCAAGACTCGAGTAAATGATTGCAAAAGGGCATTAACCAATAGTGGCAGGAAATATCACAATAGGGTCCAAAGCAGGATAAATCGTTTGCCTTCCTTCTGGCCCTATTTTGACATGAGACTTTGTCTTTCTTCTTTTCATAATAATGACATTTGATTTGTAAAAACTGGTGCCGGCGAAAGGCAGTCTTTAGAGTACGCGTTGTATCCATTCATGGCATATCATGTGCGGTGGTATGCTTGCTAGTTGTCTTCATACTTGCCGCTGTTTTCGTGTCCCACTTTCCCTTCCCTCCATGGAGAGCAGCATCATGTCGCACGTGCATATAACTCATCGCAGGGTTCTAAAGCAGAGATTCTGGTCACACGGTCATTTTGGCTGTGTCTGTCTCCATAGTTTATCTGGTTAGAGCGCCTGCCTTTAGCTCCAAACGGCCAATGACAGCGGCCGCGTTAAAGGTCAGGTGACGCCAGACAGCATGGCGGACCATGCCGGCTAATGCGGCGCGTTAGACTTTCACCGCAGAATTCTACCACTGCTCCGGAATTTCACGAAAGATGGTGAGGTCAGAGCTCATGTAATAAGTATAGATGAGCGTGGGCACCGATCCCGAAAGTCTGTTCAGTCACAAATTTGGGACTATTTATCCAGTAAAATAGTCGAAATAAGGCAGAAGATGCAGTGGTATCTGGTACTTTTGCAGATCTTCATTAGCTTCCCATTGTCTAAATCCATAGGGTATTGCAAGTGTCGCAGCCGCTGCTTCCCTTTGAATTTTAATTACCTTCTTGATAAAACATTTGACGTGTCCAGAATGATTTCAAAATACCATGGCCGCATATTATTATTAAAGGAAGCACAAGGTTTAATGACCCTTGACTTTTTAACAATCAGCATTGTTAAAAAGTGCTTTAAGTTTATTTTAATGTCCAATCATGAGGCCAGCATTATCAAGATACCAATATCACTTGAATTTCATCAGAGCGTTGAAACACAAAATCCCTTGACAGTACATGTATGCTGCAATTGTTATGAATGATTGCTCGAATAACAAAGCTTCCAACAAAGTTCACAGACGATGAAGAAGACGGAAATCAATGTTGTGTATAAAGGCAGGCTAAAAAAGTTCCCGGTATCAAGGCGATCACGACTAAGGATAAGGCTGAGTGAGGATGTGGACCACCTTTTAATTTGTTGAGTCAGGTCAACTTCTGTGCTTCCTCATAAAGCGCGAAAGACCCGATGCTTACCACTACGCAATATGACCTACACCTACTTGCGGATAAGGGGAGGCTAAAGTAACGGATAAAAAGCTTTTCATTGAATACTAGATTACATTCCACGCGTGCTTCAGGACTCAGCACAAAACTGTAGCACACTTCGCAACTTTTTAGGATCGAAAAGTGTTGGCGAAAATAACCTAGTCCACACTACCCCGCGTTCGGGTACGCATGCGTCGATTAGTTTTTTTTTACATTGGGGGTGTCAATAGCTGACTTACAATACAGATGAAGACGCTATCTTTTTTAGTCTTTTGTATTGTTGAATCCGCTTTGTTCGTGGATTCTCGCCACTTATTTCAGGCGGTCAATGAACTGCCGGTATGGCAGGGTGCTTATTTAATATGCAAGGGTATTAACAATGAACAGTCTTGTCAGGTTTGTAAATTCTGGACGCGTATCCGATGAGATCGGATATGGGTTGTGTCCGCTCTTGGATGTATGCAGAAAACCACAGTATCTTTAAAAAACGCAGTCAAAACCACACCAAACCACAGTAAAGGGTGTTACACTTTTTACTGTGGTTCTCGATACACTTTTGCCTACTGCACTTGCCCAGGCTTTGTTTCATATTTTACTCGTTTCCAGTATTGTGTGTTCCGTGTCTCTCATCCTGAAAAACATCATTTTTCGAAAGAGGCAAGTGGCTGGAAGTATCCCTGTGTTTATGTACTCACATACTCGTGTTAGCTTGGTTTGCTTCCAGCGGACCAAGCCACACAAGCGTACACATGGCGACACATAACGGCCGTCGGTGCTGGTCACATTGGAACACGGCGCCGGCGCCCGCAGTCGGTGCTGGTCACATTGGAACACGGCGCCGGCGCCCGCAGTCGGTGCTGGTCACATTGGAACACCGCGCCGGCGCCCACAGTCGCGTGACCCCTGTGACCGCGTGCGAGGTCATGTCCAGCTGAGCAAGCACACAGGGGCATCGCACTGAGGCACCGCCACAGGGCTTCATGAGAAATGAGCTGAGGCTCCGTCAGAACTTAGTTACAATCGTACCGAACACACATGAACGATATTGGTGTGTCCTATGGCATCGACAGATGTCCAGTGCGGGCGAAACAGTGGCAGAAGAAATTCTCGAAAACTATCTCAGTCTCGTCGACGAAGGCGATCTTTGCCACTGCTAAAGACGATAGACTATCGACGAATTTATGTGAAAAATGAAGTCGCGTCATTGCATCAATGAGAAGCGACGTACGATAATGTCCTAAACGCTGCACACAAAATATCCCCAACGGAAGAGGCTGCCAACGCCTGTCAACCACCCGCTGGTAGGACCCCACCCATGTGACGTCCAAGTCAATCTTAGAGCCAGCGAAAACCGATCATATATGGCTTAAACCATCACCAGATGTCATGGTACCGAAAACCATGGCAGACGATATCACCTGCCGGCCCATATCAACGCGTTTGCCAGCCAACCAGGAAAGGAGCAAAGGTGGGATGAATACGAATCGATGAGTGACCAGATGCTAAGAGTTTCCCGGTGTTGGGTCATGCCCAGAAAGTATTCATCTAAGTCAAACACGTTTGATTGCGACACGAGGGCTGGCACGGTGTTGCTGCGCCAGGGCCCAAGTCTCTTGATGCCCCTGCCCGGGCGCCGCCGAGGGACTAATCCACGGCCCACTCGTCCGCCGTCAGTACACGAATCGGACTATCTGCGCAGGCATCAGCCGGTTCGGTGTTTTGTCGGTGGATCCCTGGGCGCCCGAACAGTCAACCCATTGCGTGCTGGAAGCAGCTCTAGCTGCCGACAGCCCAGACGTGCTTTGTGTAATACCCGCCCAGTCCTCATATCTATGATTACCAGCCGGCTAGCTGGTGCTGCCACGAGCGACGCAGGAGCATTCCCTCAACCTTTTCAGGCTGCAGGGGCGTGAGGAGATGGGGAGGCCCCTTCTTTTTTATAGCTTGGAATCAAGCCTTTCAATTCTTGGAAAATATGCATCATTGACCGATTGGAAATGCACCGGACTCTGGCTCTGAGTCAGAGTCGACTTTGGAATCAACTTAGCATACTTGAATCCGGGCATGTGTGTCAATATGTTGTCATATGCAAGGCAATGAAACAGTGATTTCGGCTAGGTTGCAAAAAAATACATATTATATTAATATGCTTGTCCATGTCCGTGGCTGTTCTCAAATGGAACACACTCAACTCCTACCAGCCAGTGGTCGCCCTGAAGCATTAAGCTTTGTCAACAACAGAAAAGAACAAAAGAGGCAGTTTTTAAATAACTCTTTTTAAACATCTGCCCAACATTTCGTAAACGTTTTACCCATACATTTGCCCGTTAATACCCATAAACTTCCACAAAACCGGTAGGCAACCCAACCGGTTAACCATTCCATTCGGGTGCCAATGGTTTTACCGAACCCACGAAGTCCTTTAGAGGCAATGGCACGAACAACTTGGCGACTGCATCTGGGTAATTCCTGGGCACCTGTAACGTTCATATCACTATGTCGCCCCCACTCATCGCATACATACAGGGGTCTCGGCCTAGGGGGCTGGCCCGATGGCGTTGACGTAATCTACCCCCAAAACCTAATTTCCTTGCGGATTTCGATTATATTCATTTGCGTCACCAATGCTAAGGAAATGAAATTTAAGAATTTATGGGAACCTCTTCCTATTTTAAGGCGATGTGAAGCTGCCTTTTTGTTGAAAAAAGCTAAGAATGGGATGCAATTTAGAGAAAACAGACATTTTACTAACTCGAACATTTGGGATCCACGAGAATAGGTGTCGGCGATCGCTCACGGAATGGCTTGGCTTGGCTTGGCGTGACATGTACGGACGAGTGTCTACGGAAAATTGTCCAGTGCATTGTCATGATGTACCTATTTATAAAAGTATGAGAGCTGCATATTGCAGCCAATTGTCCTGTATCTCAATCCAGCCGTCAGCATTGTTGTGTTTGCACAACAGGGAGACAGGGAGACAGGGAGGAAAAGTCAGGCTGTACAGTACACCCAATTTGGACATTTGTGTGTCCTGAGGAGCACAAATTATCATCGCTGACGCCTGCTGGAAGCGCGAAATCTTCAACACCCATCAATACCAATGGTTAAATGTATTTGAACGTTTCCTTCTCCTCCAATACTTTCATGATTTGCCCTTATCATTTAGTTATGGCCGGTTTATTGACAGCTACCTTACCTTATTTGTAACAAGAAGTTGATGTACGTTGCTTCGTCTATTTTTAGGCAGTGGACACGGTTCAGACATGTGTCTTAGGCCAGTAATTTCACACGTGCGAAAGCTTCCCCGTTCTCTGCGCAGGAACAACATTTTTTGCAGCACGCATTATGCATGCTGACGTGCTGATGAGTTCGTGCTTCAGTGTCCGTTTAGGGCTCTTAGGTGCTCTGTTTAGAGCCCGTCAGCAAAATGCGTTACGCACGGAGAGAGGGGGGGGGGGGGGGGTTTACTGGACATAATCAAAGTTTGACAAGGGGTACGGAAGGGCTGAACAGTATAGCGCCACGCTCAGGTGTAGTTGTAGAGCACGCTGAAATATGTTAATAACGTAACAACTGTAGTCAACACACCTGGAGTTGACCCTGTCACTAGTTCCCGTCAGAGTAGATTTGATAGTCCGAGTCAGGCAGTCAGCCGCGAAGCTGGCTCAAACTTGCACGCCAGCTGGAGTCATGGCCTGAGTCAACTGCGTGTACTGTGAGTCAGAGTCAGAATGGAATCTGCTCAACCGGAGTCGGAATAAATATGGATAAGAGGCGTTGTATAATACACCCATTCACTTCTCATAGCACATCATAGGTTCATGTGTCTTTGCCACCAACTTGTCAGTCGTCTAGGCCGTGTTTCATCCGGTGTGCTCCTTACGGAACGCGACTGTGTGTTTATCTGTTTGTGTGCGTCTGGGCCGGACTAGTCAAGGCCTGCACCGATGTGCCCCCCGTGCTGCACGGCCCGACCCTGGCCGGCCACTGTGAGGTGCAGCCGGCGCGTTACCGGCTCTGCGGTCCGCGGCCGGCCCGTCCGGGGAACCGCGGTAATTCCCACCTGGTGCCGACAGTCGTTGGCTGTCGGGCCCTTCCGGCGCAGAGTCCCTGTCATGGCTGGCACTTGCCTGCCGCCGACTCGTCAAAAGTCAAACCATTTTCGGCCTTCCCCCGCCACGTCGTGCCAGTCTAGTTTCGTACCGTGTCGTGTCACGTCGTGTCGTGTCGTGTCATTCCGTTCCGTCCCGTCCCGCCCCCCCCCCCCCCCCCCCCCGTCCCGTCGCCGGGCGGGCGGCATCCGGGCCGCCGTCTCGGGACTGGCGATTGTCCGTCACCGGCTCATTGTGACGGCGTGCCCGGCCGAGACGGCACCCTGAAGTCGGCTGCGCGCGTGCCAGGCGTGCCCGCTTTAATGACGTCTTTCTTTCCGTGATCGATTTCTTGTGTCGCCTTATTAGCGTATCTCCCATGCCAGCGGGCTTTGTGCAAGGCCCATGGTCGGATTCCCGCTTGGCGGGGGCGGCCCGGTGTATTTCGTCGCCAGACCCGACGAGACGACGAATTCCTCGGTAGCCATACGGCCCTCTGTGTGAGTGGCAGCGTTAGGACGGAGTGACGTAAGACGTCAGAGGGAATTAGGCTGACAACCTGCCCGACCGGTCTGACAGCTAGACGCACCAGCCGGCTAGTAGACGGCTAGTATAGACTGTGGACATTGCGGATTGGTCGGCGCGGATGCTGCGCAGACGATATTAACGTGGGCCAACACGTTATGGCGCTTAGCTGACGGGCCGTGCTGTGGCAGCTATACAGACATCGTACAGCAGTGACCGGTCATCAGCAGACAGTACATCGCAGACACCGGCCAGCCCACCAGCACAGTCCCGCCCGCCCAGCAGGGAGCAACACCCCCGAAGCCGATCCGAACCCGGCCGCCCCCCCCCCCCCCCGCCGCTGAGAGGCACATGATCATCCACCCTCCGGCTGGGACCCGGGCGTGCCCTGCCCTGTGTCGGGCTTCGGCCTCGGTCCGTCACGCGACGCCTGACCGATGGCAGGCGCACCTCCGGCCGGGTGGGCGCCGGCAGGCCGACTCATAACAGGCGGCGATCGGGTCCGTCGGTGGACCGATAAATCGATGCACCTGGCGCCCGTTCTTCAGTTTGGAAACACGGCCGCGATGGCCATCGCGCCGAGGATCACCGACCATACTGCGGAAACGTTCGAGCAGAATGCGTCGGTCAAGTGGTGGCCGAAAGCGCCGCTGTGTTTTGCTCGGTGGCGAAGTACCGCAACGAACAGCTTCCCCCCATCTCTTGGACCGCGCAGGGGCTTTTTGAATTCAGATACCACCGGTCAAAACCCAAAGCAGGAACACGTGGCGCCTGAGCGAACGGGCAAACTATTCCGCTCAGCTGCTTGCCGATGGCCAGAGGCTGGCAGGGCGGTGAGCATCTGAGCACCGATCAGTGTGTGACCCGGCCCTGACCGTTCCAGACGCACACAGATCAGCTGCCGTTCGAGTGCGAGTACTGCAGCCACCGTTTCAAGCACAAGCGCAGCAAGGACCGCCACGTCAAGCTGCACACCGGCGAGAAGAAATTCAAGTGCAAGTACTGTCCGTCCGCGTACTGCCGCAGGTAAGGACAGAGCTGCCCTGGACCGTGCCGCAACAGGCAAGGCGGGCGCCTGAGGGCAGGGTTTGCTTGTGCGGTACACAGCCATGGATGAGACCGGCGTGTTGCGGGGTGACGGTGCTCCCGCGGTACGCTGTTGTGGGTGAGGTCAGGGCGCCTGCATCCTCCTTGGTGGAGCTGCCTTCAACTCACACTTCCGCGGGGAGAACGGAAAGACTCCCGGCCGTCACATGCACGGTTGAGTTTCGGTTAGTGTTTCTCCGGAGACTAACACAGTGAGCAACTTGTTTGAGCCTTTCATTCCATTTACTGCGTCCAATCAAGTAAAGTCACATGCGAGACGGCGAAACGTTACAGGATTGTTGGACACACTCATGTGGTGTGTTCGGTTTGTTGGACAAAAAAGAAAATTCAGTAAGGGATCAGTAAAATGCGTGGAGTTTCCTTCTAAAGCAATGCCCTTAAAAATATCCATGTTCATAGCCCTAAGCCGTGGCCACTTGATGCTTCATCGCGTGTATCGCGACAAGGCAATACTAATATGCCGGGGACAATAACCGAGCCCAAGACACTTTATCACTATGATCAAAGTATGACCATTTTACAAGCGTGACCTCTGTTCATTTTTCGTTCTAGTTAGTGCGTTTTACATGCTTGTGAGTGTGTGACTACGTCACATAGCGGCTTGTGGGATATGCCAGTATTACTTAACCGGTGTACCGGTTGGCTGTCTCACCGCGGTAGTCTCTTCAGAGTTCAGAAAGCTGTCCAGCGCTTTGATCGACTGGTTGGCACAACAGAACACGTCAACTGTCCAGCAGCGCTCTCCCCGAGTCAGCGGGCCCTTCGCCAGCCTAATCTCGCCGCCCTCCCCGTCCGCAGTGACCACCTCAAGATCCACATGCGCACGCACGACAGCCAGAAGCCGTACCAGTGCTCGGTGTGCAACCGCGGCTACCGGACCGCGGCGGCGCTCACCTCGCACCTGCAGAAGCATAAAGATCGGGAGGCGGCCGCCGCCGAGCGCGAGCCGCAGCCGTACCGCTGTCTCAAGTGTGCTGCCACCTATCCGACGGGGGACGCGCTGCAGGTGAGCGGCGCCACGGACAGTCTCCCTTCCCGACTGAGTTTGGCCGCGCTACAGTACGGTTACGGCGATGGATTGCTTGGTATTGTGTTATTTGTTTACTTGAATGAGCTGTCTGTTGCGAACAACATTGATGTGTGAAATCGGATCGCAGCATCGCCTAACGCCGACCCACGTAATGTAAGGAACCTCCGAGACAGCTACACATCGGCAACACACAAATAGCTCCGCATAGCAGCAACTGTTCATTGTCATATTGGGTAGTTTTGCGTCCTTGTTTTGGCCATGTGAAGTACCAGTCCAGCAGAAATGGACATCAAAATTTCAGGCGTGGTTAGACTTTGTCTATGGCTACCATGATGCTCTGCCAGAACATGCATTATGCAGTGACGCCGCAAGTTAATGACGATGACATCGTGCTCGTGATCCCATCTGCCGACTGCACGCCGTGCATGTCCCATCCCTGCCAAAATCCGGCGCCTGACCGCGGCTGCATCACCGCCAGGAGCACGTGCGCGCTGTGCACAGCGCCACGCCGCGCACCGCCAAGCCGGGCCCTGCGAGCAGTCCGGCGGCGGAGGCGGCGCCGTTCGCCGCTCCGACGCCGGCGCCGGCGCCACACCCGCCGGCACCCGGCTGGGACCAGTGGTCGTGCCCCTACTGCGACCGGCCCAGCCGCTTCAGTAACGTCGAGGCGCTCTCCTATCACATCCAGACCCTGCACAGTGAGTGGTGGCGCCAGCGGTACACTGCTCTCGGCCCGCGTGGTGATCAAAGTCATGTGGAGCTGTTCTGCTGGTGTCGGGCAAAATGATACTGAAAGGCATCCGCTGGTCTCTAATTATTCACTCTTCTCTTCAGCTGAAATACCAAACGCCCATTCGAACGACAGATAGCAGCGACTGCACCCCACCAAAACCTAACCGAGCGATAAAGTTGTGGGATTAACTGTGTCTAACAATTACTTGAGTCTAACAAGTGGTCATGACCAAGTTCCAAAATGCGGTGCGGGATATATTTGTTGTTCTATAAGTCCGCTCCAACACTTCCGACGCCACGGCGCCCTGCACAGCCCATTCGTCCTTATCAATTGATCTGCTGGAGACACGACTCGCCCGCTCTGCCAGCACATTGTAACAGCGCCCCTGCCCCGCAGTGCCGCTGATGATGGGCGTGGAAGGTCCGCTGCTGGGGTACGGCCTGCCGATGGTGCCGCTGAAAGCGCCACTGTCGCCGATCCACCTGGTCTCGCCGGGCGGCGCCGAGCCGGCCGCCAAGCCGCTCACTTGCATGCTGTGCGCCACGCCCGTGTCGGACGCCGCCGCGCTCATCAGCCACATCCAGGCGACGCACGCCGGCGGCGCGGCGCCCGGCGACGGTGGCGCCGCCAAGCGGGCGCCGGCGGCCGACCAGCCGACCGACCTGAGCCGGCGCGCCGCCAAGCGCGCGCGCAGCAACGGCGAGGTGGCGGCGGCGGCGGCGGCCGGCGGCGCCGACTCGCCGCTGCTCTGCAGCCTCTGCGGCCAGCCGTTCGCCGAGTTCGAGCCGTACAGGCTGCACTTCCAGACGGCGCACCTGGACGGCGCGGCGCCGCCGGCGCTCGCCTGCGACCAGTGCGGCCAGCAGTTCGCCGCCGCCGAGCCGCTGGAGACGCACCTGGCCGCGCACCTGCGCGTCACGGCCGTGCGCTACGCCTGCCAGCGCTGCCAGCGCTCCTACCGGACGGCCGACGAGCTGCAGAAGCACCTGACGGACCGGCACGCGCAGACGCTTTACAAGTGCACCATCTGCCACAGCACGTTCGACACGCGCGTCGACGTGCAGGTGCACTTCGCCGTCAGCCACAGCGACGAGGTGCGCGTACACTCGTGCTCGGCATGCGGCGACGAGTTCGGCGACGAGCCGGCGTTCCTGCGCCACCTGCGCGGCACGCACATGAGCGCGGCCAAGTCGTACCCGTGCCTGCTCTGCGGCCAGCACTTCGAGCAGCTGAGCGCCTACAAGCAGCACGTGCAGTCCCATCCAGCGCACGTTTCAGTGCAAGATCTGCGGCGAGGCGTTCTACGTTGAGTTCCAGCTGGACCGGCACGTGCAGGCGGTGCACGCGCACGAGCTGAAGCTCAACGGCGAGGCGCGGCCGCCTCCCAAGAAGCGCGCCGCGGGGCCGGGCGAGCAGCTGACGGCCGCCGCGCCGACAATGAAGTTCCCCAGCCTGGTGCAGACCAGCATCGACGTGGAGCTGAACCCGGCCTACCCGCCGGCGCGACACAAATGCAACATCTGCGACGACGTGCTGCCGTCGGCGCGCACGCTCGCCGAGCACAAGCTGATCCACTGCAAGGTAGTGTACAGCGACACGTGCGCCGTGTGCAAGGGCACCGTGCGCTCAGCGACCGGCTACCAGCAGCACATGAAGCAGCACAGCGCGCCCAACTTCCCCGTGTCGTGCGTCATCTGCCAGCAGACGCTGGTGTCGGACGCCGAGGTGGCCATCCACGCCGAGTTCCACCTGCGCCGCTCGGCCGCCACGCCGCCGGCCGCTGACGCCGGTCGCTGCGCGCGCTGCTCCATCAAGTTCGAGTCGGCCGCCGACGAGGAGGCGCACGCGTGCAGCGGGTGCGTGCCGCCGCGCCGTGAGCTTTACCAGTGCCTGATGTGCCAGCAGACGTACTCAGACCGCGACCAGATCCGTGAGCATATAGCCACGCACCTGCTAGAGAACGCCAGCCACGCGTGCAACCTGTGCCAGCTGAGTTTTGACACGCCTCTCAAGCTGCAGATCCACCTGATTGAGCACAACTTTGAGGGCTGCGGCAGTTACAGCTGCTACATCTGCAGCGCGGTGTTCACCGCCGCCGGCGGCCTGCAGAAGCACATGGTGGAGCACGGTATCGAGGTCAAGCCGTTCGACTGCGAGCACTGCCACCAGCGCTTTTTCTTCCGCACAGAGCTTGACAACCACGGATTTCTGCACCGACTGGAGGGCTCCGTGCGCCGCGTGTCCGCGCCGTCGCCGCCGGCCGGGCGCGCCACGACGCAGCCAGGCGATGCGGCAGTGGCGCCACCCAGCGGCAGTGATGCACCGCCTTCTAGTGACGGTGACGGCGCGTCGCCCACCCGCGCGAATAAGAGCGAGGACGGGCCGCCCTCACACCCTCCGGCGGCGGAGGCGGCGGAGACGGCAGCGGCGGCCGACGAAAGCTCTGTCGCACCCTCACGGCCTGACAGGAGCCATACCGAGGCGGCGACAGGCGGTGGCAGCGGCCGCTGCGGTGCCGAGGACCCGGCGGCCGTCCGGCCGCCCGTCGTCACCGTTCACACGGTGTAGCCAGCCGCAGCGCGTCCAGGGCTCTCGGTGCAGCCAGCAGAAACGTGTCCAGGGCCCTTTGCTAGCCCAGAATATGAACTCCGTCGGGATGGGCTGTTGCCTGCCGTGCAATGCAGTTCGTTTTGTCGTTAGTTTTATATTTATTGACCGCAGCTGGGCTGTTGGAATTGCTATATCACTTGTTGTCCACTTTAAATGTACTATGTGCATTTGCCTTCTCTAGGTTGGCTTGCACTGAATCTTGTATCATTTGCTATCAAGAAGAAACATGTTATGTGTGAATCTGGTGCTGGGAGCACAGGTCAAGGCAGTTGTACAAATGCATGTTTAAGTTCTGTAGGCACTTGTTGGTCAGGCTGCTTTCTGTACAAATTTGTAATAAAGGCACTAAACATTATCAATCTGTTACCAGCCATGCACTGGACCATTGGTGTGGAGATAAACATTCAAATGATTGAATTCCTGGGGTCCACCCATCAATCATGTTTCACATAAAGGAGTTTTTATAGAACATAACAAAAGCATGTGGGGGGGGTGAGGGAAATTTTGGACAATGAACATATTGCCCAGATATGGTTGCAATTTATGCTTAAATCCATAAAATCTAAATATCAAGACCAGATCCAGCCAACTTTCTATTATGACAAGCAATGTGTCCATAGCTGTTTTTTTCTTACTCTTTTTTATTTCTAGTTAAATTATGTCTGAATCAACATCACCTTTTTCTGAATGTATCTTTGACATAGCATAACCAGGTAGGTTTGCCCAGCAAGACAAATGGATGACCAGGGAAGGGGAATGTCCAAAATGTGTGACAAAATTTATGTACTGCTCCCTGCAGATCATAACTCTTCTGCACCAAAGGAAGGTGCAGTGTAGGTGTACTTTCCTACCTAACGTTAGAAAAAATCACTGTACACCATTCGCCATGTTTAAGGTGGAACATATCATAAATAATCTCAAAACAGGTAGAATGATCCTCCTACCTTCAAATTTTACTAACAACGATAGCGAGCTCCCAAGCACCGCATGCATCGCATCGCCTCGACTCCCCAGCGCCGTTTCTGCGTTGTCGTTGCGTAATTACAATATTTCTGCTTATCAAGAACCATAAAAAATGTACTGAACCAAGGCAACAATAATTATGCAATGAAAATCTTTTCTTATCATGTTTAGGTACGTTTATGAAATACAGGACAAAATAGCCCAGAACATAGCCTAAACTAGCCTAGCCCAACCTAACCCAACCCAACCCAACCCAACCCAACCTCCCTGCAGATCAAATTTCATGGATTCTTGTTACCTTGGCGGGGTACATTTTTATGGTTTCCATGCCACTTGATGCACAGTAATGTTACCGCATGCAGTAATAGCGCCGGTGTCGTGGCTGTGTGTTTGCGGCAGTCGAACGTTCGGTATTGTAATTGGTTAAGTTCCAAGGTAAGAGTACAGGTGACCTGTTTTACGATTATGATATGTTCTGCCTTAAAAATGATGACTGATGTGCAATGCTCTTTTGTAACATGAGGTAGGAAAGTACACGCTGACCGAAGGTGCAAGTGTAAGTGAGGTGGGGTGCGACCCACAAAAGATTTTGACAACTTAACTAATGGTACTGCATAAAAGAAACAAAAGAAATGTAGGCAAAGGAAAAAGAAAATGCAAACAAGTAACAAAGATCAGAACACAAGCAAGCAAGAATGCACACAGTTCTGGAAGCCCTCTAGTTTCCAGGCTGTACACCCACAAAGTTTGTCTTTTTTTGGAGGCTCTCAAGGTCACCCTGGTATCCATGACATGGTGACATCATTCAAATAAAATCTTAGATTAGCATAACCATCGCTAAAAACTTCGCTCCATGAACATAATTGGCACAGCGACGAAACACAAGTACCAGCCTGCCAGACTGATATGGGGTAACATAGCATCCTGATTGTTAGTTAAGTGTACAAGATTGACAACATCTACGTTTCCCAAGCCTCATCTACCTAACGCTGAACGGGTAGGCGCTCGGCGCGCAATAGCGCAGGCAAAGACGACCCGTGCCGGAAGCTATCTAGACCCCAAACTCGCCCATCACTAATTCCCATTCTTCATAGTAGTTCACAAAAGGAAGGGCAGAAGCAAGGGGCAGAAGCCAGCAGCTGTAGACTTGGAATGCGCAGACACGACAATTATGGTGAATGTAGCTTTCCGTTTTGTGTGTGACGTCAGCATATGACGCAACGAGATATATACTCCGGAGAAGTATTCGCATTTATTAATCAATGAATAGTATATCACTAAGTATTATAATTTTATATGAAATCAGAAACAATCACAATTTATTATGGCACTTTCATTCTATGACACCACCTAGAAGGATCCGAAACGTAGACTTCTGTATCAGCTGTTCGTGGCCTTGATTCACATGCAACGCCAGGGAGCTCCATTCGGACGCGAGACGGCCGCGGGGGAGGGCGGGTGGTGGAGATCGTGTCGCGGTGTGGCGTGGCGTGCAAGGAGTGCATTGGTGAATGGTGTGATTTTCAATCAGCCCTCCCCAGGAGCTGTTCGTGAATTAGCGGAGGATCGTTGCTTTGGGTATTTTCCTCTCGTCTTCAGCAACAGCCAAGATGAGCAACCAGTGAAATATCTCATTCTTGGGGCAACTTGGACTGGATGAGCTGGCAACATCAATGACCGCTGATGTGCAACTGAACTTGTAGCTAGAAGAACTTCAATCACATCTGAGGCGTTCTGTCCGTGAAACAGGCTAGCCTGTTGGACTTGCCATCTCATTTGTCACTTTTCCAATTGGTGTAAAATTGTATTGATGGATTGGTGGTGTGTGTGACTGAGGGAAATTATTATTTAGCTTTCTCAGTCAAGAAAATTTAAGTTTTCAAGTGCAATATTCTCTTATTGAAGATACTTTGGTGGTATTAAGATCTTAGTGCTTGTAATAATACCAAAATGTATAGCTTTTTTACTTCAAGAAGAAAGCGCACTATGTTCTATAAAGCATTCGGTGTTGTAATAGTGGTGTCATGCATTGTACTGTGGAAACGGAAAGGCTTTCTAAGAAGCAGTGGTGATAAAAGCATGGCATTGGAAGGTGGCATCTCAGTGGAAGAGTGGGATGGAAAAGCAGATGCTAGACAAAGTCAAAACAACAGAATGGAGAGGTCAGGAGACTTCCGGCAACAACTAAATGAGCTAGGTGGTCAAAATGAAGCTCTCCCTGTCAAAAGTGTTTCAGACTTTGATGTTTTGGGTGGAGTGAAGCTGGATGATCTTGATGACAAGAGGAATGCATTTGGAATGTCCCATCAAAAAGGACTTGAGCAGTATGACAGTGACATTGAAATGGATCTCAAGAAGATAGTGCCAGGTGAGCTGCTTATGTTTCTTTTCATATATAAGTGTATTATGAACTGTAATGCTGTAGAGTACCATGACATATAGTTTTACAAGATCAGGCAGCTCAGTATATTATGCGATCTTCATGCGGTCAAACCTGTCATTTGTTAGAGGGCTGCTGCAACTTTGTTTTCTGACCCATACAGGCTTGTATGTGTTATATATGCATTTGCAATCAGGCTTCCATTTATGATATTTGATCAGTTAAATGTGTGCCTGGGTGGCCAGATGAATACCCTGCACCCAGGTGAGGGGTCAATTTGACCCCATCCTGAGATCTCAGAAACTAAGAGAGCTAGAGAAACCAAATTCATAGGGTGTGCTGGCCAGCACATGAACTCATTTATATCAAAATTGAGTGCTTTTAGATCATGACCTTCAGGTCAAACAAGATTCAACAAGGTCAAAATTCTAGGTTGATGTCCAGATCAGAACCCAGATACCTGCTCTGAGCAAAAGGCCACTGATGCCTGTTTATGATCAGTGACCTTGTTTGACATTTTGAAGGTCATGGTGACCAAAATAATATGAGTACTTTGGGTTTTACATTTGATTAAGTATAAAGATTATGCTAGGCAGTATGTCCCTGAAAACAAAATGTTGACCTGGGTCATTTTAGGTCATTGATTGGCTGGGTGGACTGGTCATATTCTGATCTTTTAGAAGTAGGTGGAATATGTATGATGAGGTCTCTGTTAATAATAAATTTGAAATGAGTGCCAGAAACTACCTCATACAGGGAGCTCTCAAGTAAAAAACAAGTTGGACTGTTGAACCCTAAGTTGAACCTTAAGTTGGAAGTTGGACCCTAAGTGAATTGGAATTGGTTGCCCATACTTGGAATTTTCATACTCCCAGAACAAGCATGCTATGGTCTTGAACAGCAGTGGCAGCGTGTAAGCAGCGATGTTTGGCGAACGACGTCCTCACAACCGCCAACGTCTGGTTGACCTTCCTTCGAAAAGCCTCCGCTTTCCGCGCAGGCTTTTGTCTGCACGCGGAACGTAGCCTGTGATCTGTACGAAGATTCCGAGGTGCGTCTCAGTGTGTTTGACCGCGATTGTTACGTCGTGTTCACGGAATAGGTCAGTCTCGGGTTGCAATTGCCGATATGCATCACTTTGCAATATGTTGTGTTGGAGAGGAGCAGCCACTCCTCGGACCAACTGACCAGGGCGTTGACCCATCGTCACTGCCAGTCACAGTCCACCCAGCCTGAGTAGGGCGACCCGTGGTTCCATCCTGAGTAACTGGGATGGCAGTGGTACTACCCGTCCTGTCAGGGCTTCCAGTACCCCTAGGATCCTGAGCGCGTTGGCTGGTATTACCTTCATAGGCAGCACCTAATACAGGAGTGGGGGAGGGAGGAGGGGGCGGACCACTTGGGGGGTTTTGGGGCGTGGCGCGGGCGGATCAGCCCGGGTAATGCCATCTGTCCCGTCTGTCCCTAAGACGAGGTTCGTGTGTTGATCATCAAAGTGTTGCAGAATGGTGCGATACCCGGCTACAGGTGACATGAACGTCACCTGCGCTGGTGGCACTCGTGCGTCACCAGCTGCCACGGAGAGGAGGAGGAGACATACCTTCCAGTTTTCCCCAAATGGTCCGTGCCCCCTTCAACGTGCCTGTCGAATCCACGGATTTTTCATCATTTTCCATTTATAATGCCACTTTCTGTTCAGGCTAACCCGAATTTGAACCGCACTCGCCGGTTGTTTCCAGTTTGACCGCTCCATTTGAGGTTTGACCCCCCCCCCCCTTCCTCCCCATCATCTCTGGAACGTGGTTCACCCACGACAGGTGATGTCAGCTGAGCGGAATACGTTGTCCGCGGAGGCATACAGGTGACGTCACTCCACACAAACACGTCAGAAACAATCCAATCGGTCAAACTGGCAGGTGAACATAACCAGGTAGTGAGAAACCATCCATGAATGCAAAAGACCGTGCTTCAAATTGTCCAAGCACAGTAGCATACTGACGAACAGCGGTATCTTCAGTTCGCTGTACCCACAGAGCCTTCAAAATTTGTAGAACACTTCAAAACAACATTTTGAATTCAACGTTTTGAATTTCAAGGGCCATTACTCGGTCAACGTTTGAGATATTGACGTTGCACGCACGCACGGAGATGTTTGGCAGCGTTCGCTACTCATTACTCGAGCCTGGAGGTGAAGTCTAGTTAACGCCTGACCTGTGGCCACCCCGGAAGGTCGCTTTGAGGGTCATCTGTAGAAATGGTGCATGAAAACGTACAAAATACCACATGCTGATATCACCATCCATTTTTTTTTTAATCTAGCAAAAATTGGCTAAGGGGCCGTGAACTGTTAGCTTCTAGCGAATGGCCGATTAGTCGCCTAGAGGCAGATTTTCGTCAATCCATGTTCTGAGACTGTGCGGAGCCGCCTGGCGCCGAGCTGTGTTGGCGGCGTATTGGTGGTCGCCCACTCTCATCCTTCTGGTAGGCTGGTCGGCACGCACCCTTCCTCGACCCCGTATGGTAGTAGAGGTCCGGCCGGCGACGCTGGTGGGCTGGGCGCCGGTCCCAGTACAGCTCCGCCGCCACCGGGGAACGCACCGGTAAAGTGGAGCGTCAACCGCTCGCCTGCGTCGCGATTCCGGGACCGAGGCCAGACAGCACCGAAACCCTACAATCGCGTTCTACAACAACCGTGATCGCGATCACGGTTCTAGATGTCGCGCTCACGGTTTCGAAACACATGGGAAAGTATCAGTGGCTGAGGTGGGTGCTAATATGTTGGCAGCTTTTCTGAAAATGTCTCGGAGCGGTATTTCCCCAGACAGAAGGGTTTCGCTGTCGTCCAACATTCCGTTTGACCATTTGAGATAGGCGGCTGGCGGGGGACTGGTCAGGCGTGTTTGCGGCGCGGCAGCGGGGCCGGCGCGGTGCGGATGGTGCCACGGCCCGGGGGATGGCGCCACGGCCCGGGGGATGGCGTCTGTCTCGTCCGCTGACGTCACGGGCCGGCCGACGGACGAGCCGGTGACGTCACGGGCCGGCCGACGGACGAGCCGGTGATGACTATCGCCAACGTCCGCATATCCGCTGAGACCGCAGCGGACGGTGAGAGAGACGATGGCGGAGAGGGGGGGGGGGATTAACAGAGAGCCGCTGCGCGCGTGCGCCGGATCGCACGCCTGCCCTTGACGTGGCGCACGTTAAGAGGATGAGCGAGCTTGGTATGGGGCCGCCACGCTGCCGCTGCCGCTGCCGGGGAAAGTGAGAGCTCACAGGACGGAGCCGCAGGAGATGCCCCGGCCAAGCGGCGGCGATTCTGGGACGGCTGTCTGCTGCTGATGGTCGCTTAGCAACATACCGTGAACGCTCCCCGGGGCCTCTCCCACAATTTGTCAGACGGAGCGGGATGAAGGGCATTACGCATCTGACGGAGCCATCGGTTCGCCCACCTCTGGGAACCAGTCGTTATGCTAAACGGCTGTGTAACAGAGGCGCATGGTCTCGGACAGTCGTGGTGGCATCTGTAATGCCTAGACGTACAGCCGTAGCGGTAAACGAGGTATTTAACAGATTGGCTATCGGCGGCAAGTCCGCCCGCGAGTACTTTGGGTAACCTACTTCACACACACACGTGCACGCACGCACGCACGCACGCACGCACGCACGCACGCACGCACGCACGCACGCACGCATATATATGTATATGTATATATAATATCCATACAGTGGTGAGTGACTGCCTCCAGGCATTACGCAGAAAGAAAAGTCGTTGCGTTTAGTAGCCACAGCTACGACAGTTACTGCACGCCACATCTTTTTTCTGCCAAGATTCCAACTTGCATTGTTTCCCACCGCCCCTCCCCACCTCATAAAGAGTCGTCCTCCGGGCCCCGCCGAGAGACGTTCGCGACTGGGTAGTGGTACCCGCGCTGCTGTTGGCGCCAAACACCTAGGGCGCCCTGCGCCTCGCAGTCGCTCTGAGTCGGTAAAATTTTGACGGAATGCGTCCTACTTGGGCCGGAAATTGCTCGTACTTTACTTGGCTGTATATTTATATATATATATATATATATATATATATACATATATGTATGTATGTATGCATATGTGTATATATATATATATATATATATATATATATATATATATATATATATATATATATATATGTGCGTATATATAATGGAGGACAATTAGGCAATGACCGTGTGTTTCTTTTGACCAGGTCTTGGTGCGGATGGTGAACCAGCCCACTTGTCTGGAGCAGAGGAGGCTCATGCCGAGGAACTGATGAAAAAAGAGGCCTTCAACATCGTTCTTAGTGACAAGATTTCGCCCAACCGCTCCGTGCCAGATGCCAGAAGCAAACTGTGAGTGCTGGCCTGTTTGCTATCAGGCGGAGGGAGGCGCGGGCATAATCTGCGCTGGTTTTGTTCGAGGCTGATGCTCAATGTGTCCAGTTTTGGACTGCTGGTACAGTGCTGAGCGTGTGGCAGATACCACGTAATAAAGGGAACGTCGCGTTGATGTGGATCGATCCTCCGCGCTCTGACATGTGCTTTGGATGCGGGATCGGCACAGACATACAAATATATTTTCCTGTGGCGCAGCGCTGCGGCGGTGTCGCTCAGTTCGCGGCTTAATCGGCGCAAATGGCGCCCTGGTAGCCAACTGGGTCCACGCTTTGCTGCTATGGTGACCCTGTTTTCTTATTGTGAGACTTTTAGGCTCTAGGTTACATATTGGTGCCTCAGATCCGTTTTCAATATTTTAGAAACCCTGTAAAAAGGACTGGGACCTTCGACCTTATGAGTTCGCTGCCAATTCAGTGTGTGGGGGGGGGGGGGAGCAGAAACATAGCCCAAAAGCTCCCTCCCCATCTCTTCCTTGCCTACGTCACTGCAGTGGTGACCCTTCGCTAGGCATTACGCACAAAGAAAAACCCCTGCAGTTGGTAGCCATAGCTACGGCAGTCACGCCGCGCTACAGCCTTTGTCTACGGAGATTCCCCCCCCCCCCCCTCCCCAGGTAACGTTCGCAGCTGGGCGGTATTGTCCGCGCAGATGTCCTCGCCCAACACCTGAGAACCCCCTTGCGCCTCACAGGCGTTCTGAGTCGGTGAAATTTCAACGAAATGCGTCACAAGTTACCGACCGGGAATCGCTCGGGGACATGCTGCAGTTAGCCCAAGCGGGCTGCAATGGCGTGCACGAGTTAATGTTGCGTCTTGTTGTTCGTGGGTGTCAGACTCCATAAGGAGTGGTTTGCTTGATATGCCAATCTGCAAACATTGGCTGTCAACTGCCCGACAATCAACGGAGCCCACATCCTGGCGGAAGTCGGCTGCACCTCATTTTGTGCGGCAAGGAACCGATGTCCTACATGCATTCCTTATAAAAAGCTTGTGAGGCATATATACCCTCATCACGCACCCGGTTGGCCGGTGGAATACGCTTAGCTCGGGTGGGGGGGGGGCTCAAGTTGACTTCGAAACCTAAAAAAAACCAAGAGAGCTAGAGACAACAAATGAAAAGGATACCTTGAGCTGTATGTTGCATGTGGCGTGCTGTATGCGTATGTATGTGAGCTAATGGAGCCGTACATTTGTCTAAATTTGAGGTTCCAAGGTCATATAAGTTCAAACTCCAGATTGCTGTCCAAAGTGCCCCCAGACCTTCTCATGTAACTACGGTGAACCTAGCTGCCTGTTCTAAGCATAAGGTCACTGGTTCAAACGTAGGTCAAATAACTTGTGTCACCTTAAGAAGGTCATACTGACCAAACCTGTCTTGATTTTTGCTTTTTAATGAGCGTCAGTGATTGCGTTTGGTGCATGTTCCCAAAATCGAAATTTACCGGGGTCATTTTTGGTCAGTGACCAATCCTCATCTTGAAGAAGTCAATGAAAGATGTATGGTGCGGCCTCTATTATTAATGAATTCGAAATGAGCACTGGAAATTACTCCATGTAGAGGGCTGTCGAGCAAAAAGCATGTTGGATTTGACCTTGGTCTGACTTTCGTGCATCACCCCGGGTCAATAGAATTGGTTAATTCAATTGCTGTGTTTCGTAAGAAACTAACTCAGAGTTGCATGGCTTCAACTATGACTCCGTTGTTGCATCAGATTGAACGATATCCTGGAAATTTTGCTCGCTGAATCCATAACCTGATTGATCTGCCTTGCGTCAGTGACCTGACAAGGTACATGCAAATTTTTGATACCAAACGATCCGCTATTGCATTTTCTACAGCTTGGCAAAATATGGCATGGCTACGTCGCGCCGTTCGGAAATTGTTCCGGAAAAAACGCCGTGGGTCAAATGGGCTCCCACCCGAGCGCCTGTTAAGGGATTGTGGTAGCCAAAAACGGTTGCTGATTTTATTGTTCCCAAAGCTGGCGGTAAATTAGGACCCCTGAAAGCAGTTCCCGAACCAATTGGGAACAGGTGAAACATTGCCAATTTTGCGTTTTGTCGTCGAACGCTGCTGCCGCGCATTCGTCTCCCTCTGAGTCCAGTTCAGACCGAAATCTGCAGAAATATTGCAGCGTAGAGAGAACACCCGCGACAACAGATGAGTCATGGTAGTCAGGTCTCTGCTGCATATTTCTGTTGAAACGCTTGTGGTTCTCAAAAAGCCTTGTTATTTTATTGTTCTTGGAGCGAGTAGCTGATTTTTATTTCAATCAACAGTTTTCAGTGTAAACATCTCAAACATGACCACTTCCGTGCTTTGTCCTGGACCGTGGCTCCTACTAGATATGCCGAATGTGATGCTGCTCTTATGGAAATATGGCTCCGAAACGGACTGGAAAACGTGCATAAATCGTGAGGCTGTACTTAAATTTTACGCATTTGGATATAACGCTTGCTGTTTTGTATCAGGCCCAGCCTTTTTAAGTGATCTCATTCTCGCCGGGTAGGATGAGCTAAAGCATATTTGTGGCATGGTCTCCTTTGCATTTCCTGTCGGCTCGAACCCACCTTTGAAAATAATTCGGGAAGCTTACGTTCAGACTAAAAGGACGTGGTTGTACCAGGAGGGAGGCCGTCATGTGGAACGTATTAAAAGATGCGATTTACTGGTGGCCACAATCGATTCCCCAGTCACTTTGTTTTCTTAGAGTGCCTCATACAACATGCTAATCACCAGGAAATCGCTCCGCCTATTAACGAACAATGCCAAGCGATTTCATAACCACGCCTACTCCTGCTCCTCACTGGGGTGAGTGTGGTCTGTTTTCCTTTCAGTAACTGTCATCCACCTGCTTGCGTGTTCCAATCGCGCGTGTTGGCAACGTTCGCGAAACGCTGCGTGGTCGTCTATTACAATGTCGCCGGGGCCGTCTTTACCCGTCTGGCCGTACCTGCACGAACCCGCGCAGCCGTCAGTCTGCTCTCGGGTTTCACGATCTCCCCCCCCCCCCGTCCCTCTCTCCATCGTTCACCCAGGCCTCGAGGCGCACCCCGGACGACACTGCGGCCGGCATTGCGCAGACCGCGCGCCGTCGGGCGGTGTGGTCGTCAGCGCTGTGTGGCGGGCGAGACTGACGGTGACACGTGGGGGCCCGACGTCTCAGGTGGCCTGGGTCGGTGGGGGAGAGGGTGGTGTATCGCAGGCGGGCGAACGACTCAGGGCTGGAACGGCCGGGATTGAGGATGGGGCGCTCAGAGACACCGAAGCGGTGTCATCAGCTGCCATGCGAAACCAACCGTTATTACTTGAGATGGCGAACGTGAGGCGTGACGGACACGTACGCTGCGTGCTGTGTCATGTGACGTCACGACTACCAGCTTGCCAACATTTGCTGTCAATAATAAAGCGGGTTGATACTCCCAAGTACATTTTCGTGATTCCAGAAGTTGAAATTGGCATACAAAGGAGAGCAACATCCCTCGTTTTCATTGACGACTGCTCCGTCTATCTTCGCTCAACCCCGCGTACCGTCACACTCAGTGACCCCATTGTGCCTCGTCTGGTCCGTGACGTTTGTCTCGCGACGCTCGAACAGCCCGCACCTGCGGCACGTTCTCGTTCCAAATGCGGTCATCCGACCGCGCAGGTGGGGGACGTTGCGATACTTCGCGTGGCACCTGACCAACATGATCGCACTCTCACCCGACCCCCAGTGACTCTCTCCCTCGCTCTCCCGGCAGGTGTCTAGGCCGACAGCACGACCACGACCTGCCCACAGCGAGCGTCATCATCATCTTCACCAACGAGGCGTTCTCTTCACTGGTGCGGACCATCCACAGCGTCATCAACCGCACTCCGGCGCGCCTGCTGAAGCAGATCATCCTGGTGGACGACTTCAGTGACAGAGGTTAGTCTATGTCCCATTCGGTTAGTTTGTCGGTTGGTAACTCAGGTAGCGAAGCCAGTCAGGGAGCAAACTGATCAGTTACTTAATACTGTACTACGTCAGATCCTGCTCGACCTGATCAGTTAGGTAGTCAGGCAATAAAACGCATTTTTCCGAAATTGTGCATGTCAGCTGCACCGCGCGATCAGTCTATCGGGGAATGTCAGCCGGACCGCCGAGTAGTCTGTCGGGAGTGTCAGCCGGACCGCCGAGTAGTCTGTCGAGGGTGTCAGCCGGACCGCCGCTCAGTCCGTCGAGGGTGTCGACCAGACCGCCGATCAGTCCGTCGGGGTGTCAGCCGGACCGCCGAGTAGTCTGTCGGGGTGTCAGCCGGACCTCCGCTCAGTCCGTCGAGGGTGTCGACCAGACCGCCGATCAGTCCGTCGGGGCGTCAGCCGGACCGCCGAGCAGTCTGTGGG